AAGGCCTCCCTTGCGATCCTTTATGCCACCTATACTATCGGGCCTCGTATTGACAAATTCGCGTTCGACCTCCTTAGCGAGATGCCTGTCTCTAAGTCGCGAGAGCTCTTCCTGAAGGTTTTTGTCTCCATTTCCGGCAACGTATACAATGACGACGAGGCCTTTGCGACGCCCCCAGCCTTTGAATTCGGTGCGGTTCGGGGCAATGTACGGATCTGTCAGCAAGGGAAGAAGCTCCTCGTCAGATCTCTAAGTGAGCAGTTCTACCGCGAGGCCCCTAACTGGCATCCGTATCGACGAGTCCCCGGGTCTCCATGGAACAATTTTATCAGAAACACGGAATTGCCTGTCTTCTCAACCGACGAAAATCATGTGCCTCACACGAAGATCAAGTTCATTCTGCCGTACAACGCGATCGTTCTCGCCAAGCAGTTCAAGGCAAAGTACGATTGGGCCCGCGCTCTTCTCCAGGCCAAAAGCCGACTTCCTCAGGTCTCCGAGGCGTCAAAACTGTTGCAGCTCAAGTGGTTTGCTCAACATTCCGGGCGACGATACGCCAACAACGCCCCTGATATGCCCACAGCTGAGTCTTTTATGAGCGTTGGGAACGACTTCCTCTACCATACTCCTGCAGTTCAAAAGCCCCGCGCAGACGCGAGTGGATTTCTGACTCTCCCTTTCATGTCGACTGCGGTTTATGCAATTGGGCGTCACACGGATCCTGTAGACACTCCTATTCAAAGCTTTCTGGTATTGGCCTTCAATCAAGAGCTACCGGGCGAAGTGGCCAATTAAGCTATAACAAGGATTCTTGTAGATTGCAAAAGGGGATATACGTAGTGTAAGTTTCTAGCTACCTACCTTTAAGTAGTCAAATTCATGAGGTCAAACCCAGTCACAAATATTTTGGTTTCATAAGTTTCGCCCTAGCACTGTCAAGCATCTGCAAAACTGCCCGTGATACGCTAAGAAAACGGCGGCTGCTAAACACTGCCTGCCACCTCATTCTATTGTTCAGGTACTTGCTGCTAAGTACCTGGGTATCTAAGTTCCTGCCAATGAATTTATTCATACACCCCCCTCCTCACCCCCCAGATTTCTTACTTATTAACACCACTTCTCTCCACGCTCAGAAATTCTTCTCTCCAACCTCTGACAACTCATATTCTTTAAGACTGGCACTCTTTTTATCCAGTGTTTCTCATCATCTACTTAAATCAAGCTCCTGCTTTCTCTCACTCGTTGCTGTCAACATGGAACTACTGATCAACGCTGCCAAGGATGAGCAAAAGGTTGCAGCCTTGAACGACTCGTCCAAGGCCGCAGCGATGCGTGCTGTCTCTCAGACTTCTCCAAACCGTCTGGCCGAGGCTCTCTTGTCTCCTCACATGTTGATTCAAATGCTTGACCTGTTCGGTCATGAGTTTCTTCCTATCTTCGAAGACCAACTCGAACCTCATGGCGCTCTGGGTACTGCGGATTCGAAGGCTAAGCGCCCTCTTAACGCCTTCATGGCCTTTCGCAGTAAGTGTGAATCCTTTTACCTATGGCACCTATTGACCAGATCTAGCCTACTATCTGAAGCTATTCCCCGACACCCAGCAGAAGAATGCCTCCGGTCTCCTGACTCAGCTCTGGGGCGGCGACCCTCACCGAAACAAATGGGCCCTGATTGCTAAAGTCTATTCCTTTCTCCGCGATCAACTCGGCAAGAGTACCGTTAACTTGTCCGCATTCCTTGGTATCGCTTGCCCTTTGATGAACATGATTGAACCCTCCTTGTACATTGAGGTCCTTGGCTGGCAGCGAACTGCTTCTCAAGGCATCGTGACATTTCAGCAAAACACTGATGTCATGAAGGCGAACCTGGCATGCTCTGTCAATGCCCAACCCACCACCGAGATCGATCTTCTCACCAGCGTCCTATATGCTGGTTACTTCACGGACTTCTCTCAGGTTCTCCTGATGCGCATGTGGGCTTGCCAGAATGGCATCATGACCACTACCAGTGCTACTGCTGGCAACAGTGTCGCCACTACTCAACCGCTCTACGAGTCTGTTCCAACAACCTCCGAGAAAACCAGTTTCATCAACGCAGTTCGCGAGAGCCGCAACCTTGCTGCTCAGGATCTTTTTGGTGCCGAATACGACGCCGCCTTGTTCGGAAATCGTTTCGTTCATTCATGGGAAGTGCAGGACCTCGCTTCGTTCCAGAATGTTCAGATTTCTGTGGCAGACTCGCCTATGGAGAACAACACTCTCTACAACTTCCACACGGATCGGCACTACCGCCCTCAGGCTTCTGAGTTCGACCTCTACGATGTCATCGACACAGGCATCATTGACATCTCCAGCGCCTGGTCTATTGACCAGTACCTACATGAGAAGCAATCCAAGATGCATCAGCAGTGTCAGTACTTCCTGTCCAAAAGTTCCGATTATTACTGACATATACAGAAATTCTGATGGCGTGAAAAAAGATCAAGGTGAATCATGGTAGCTCTTGATCTTAGATCAACATCACGAATCTAGCATACGGTGCGACTAGGCAGTTTCGGGATGAAAATGGGATGATTTGAAATGATACCTGACCGGCGAGAATGTTGCCGTAAGACTGAGGTTACAGTTGGGGGAATTCTTTACCAGGAACTGCATAGCAAAGTCAATACACGCGATTACTAGTCTTGTCATTCTTGGCTGAAGTCGGAATTATGTTTGGTACGGCCCACAACGAGATCTGAAGGTGGGGAAGCGCAGCGCTATTGACAGCAGGAATGATTGGCTGACAGACTCTTGGCGATGCTCACGATTAAAGACACAGGGTTTAAATTACAGTGTGAGATCACACAGTCTTTAGACCCTGGTCCTTCGACGTTCTGGGCAAGACAACCCTGGATCATAGGTCAGACCAGGGCGGCACATCCGAATGCCTTTTAATTCCAGTTCTTACTTCGACCCTGACACGCAGAGCATTCAGTCTTGAGCTCTGATGCCAATTTTCAGAATTCGCGAGTGAAACATCGCCATGAGTATCATATCGACTCTGTACAGGTACAGCGCAATCTGTCGTTTGAATTGGGTTCAAACGAAACATTGACTGCGCTAGCTCTATCGGGTTAGAGCAATCTTGGCGTTGGACGCCACAGGGACAAGGACCCATCGAGAGCTCCCTTGACAAAATTACGCCAACACAGGATGGTCACTCTTGAATATCAAGCCCAGATCGAAGCGAACTCTCCAATAGCCGTCTCAATAGTTGACTTTTCTTGATTTCGACGTAATTACGGTTATTCCAGGGCTCTTGTACATGATTCATTACTCAATTAGCAACTTGAGCGGAATTCCTGAACCATACCAGCTGGATCTGCCATTCTCCCTCCCTTCCTTGTAAGTCGTCCATCAGCCCTACAGCTCAAAGCGGGTATAGCATGGGGGTGTCACCATCAGCGATCGCGGGGACCAAGAACCGGGCTAAGATCACCAGCTACTGCTAGACCATCAGGACCAAGACTGTCCACTCTAACGTAGGTACAGTAGGTTTTGTTTTAGGTCGGTGGCGGTAATAAAGCACAGGGACATTCTAAACCGATTTCCAGCACCATCATCAGAAAGCTCCTGTTTGAGGAATGCTTGACGGAGTATATGTACTGTAAGGGGCAATTGCTGCTGCTACTATGATTTGGTGGCGTAACCAGTGCAGAATTGCTTTTGGAAGCAAGGTGCCCTTGTAATCGACCTTGCTCCTTCGAATGCAGCTGATCATCTGATGATATCTGTTGGCTACAGCCCAGTCGACAGGGGTAGCGTTATCGCCAGTGCTCTAGGGGAGGACACAAAACTTAGAGGACATCTATCCTAAATAACGAAAAGACTTGGAGTAACTTTGGATAAGTTTAGGGTATCTTTAGAATACATTTTGCCGAGTTCGTTTTTGATATCCCATATCAAGGTTTGATGTTTTCTTACTCCCAAGGATATCTCAGCTATCAAGGACCCAGCTCCTAAGTACAGTATCCGATTGACAGTTTCACATTCACTCGATGGGCTCAGACATGACCAGGATACAACTGTTTGCGTAACATCGTTGACGCAGTTTGCACAAGGTATGCGCATACCTACCACTGCGTTGTCACCAGTGACTGAGTGTGTCGACTCTCACCTCTCACCCAGCCTGTCTGTCTGTCTGAGCCTAGTCAATCGCTTCACCGTCCAACTCCCCGCACTCAGCTCCAGCTCCAGGCAGCACAAGCAATACAAAACATATTTCAACGCATGTCTTACAGATCCAGGAATTCGGAAAGTGAACATATTTCGCTAAGCTACGCCTGTTTCTAACTAGTAACACAAGAAACACTATCCGCATCGCCGGCCCCAACAGACGAGACGAGACAAGACAACCTAAGACACTAAGGTGGACTAAACTAAAACATGGTTCCCATCGACAGGGGACCAAGACCACGACTTTCGTTCTTCAGGAAATCCTCCGGCACTGTACGGACCGGTGACGGTTACGGGTAGTCCGCCCAAGTTAGTCTATATCTCGCGTCTTTGCTCGCGTCGCGAAGTGAAATGTAAGAAATGGGAGTCTAATCGTCCATGCTCAAATGCCCAGACTTTCTACTCCTCCGCGTGCCATACGAAAATCGACCAAGGCTACGCAAGTGCAAGCCATCCCCATCAACTCTAATACCTTACTATCCAAAGGGGGGGCTCTGGGCTTGCTGTGTGTGTGCCTCCTTTGGTTGTGCAGTCTCACTCCTGAGCTTTGATTGGTCGGGTGTCGATAATTGAGGCTGAAGGCGCGAATGCCTTAAGCAGGCCCAAATCTGCGCCCTTTACTCTTCTTGGTATGAGATCTTCCGCATCTCGCCCAATCGATGTCGAGCCGACGCCAAGGCATTCTCCAATTGGAGGATCTCGACCTGTTGATTGTTGGTGGCTTGTCAGTCCATCATCTTACACGAGGGGGCTAAAATAAACTTTGCCGGATATAGTAACCGTTACGAAAGCACTGGCCCGGGAATGAACTGGACCTGTGAGGGGTATCGATGTGTCATGGTAGTCGTGATGCGATGTGTGATGCCACCATGACAGGGGGACAGGGACATGAGAGGGAGACGGCCAGGGGAAAAGGAAAGGGTTGCCAAACACATGACGGGGGAGGCTGCTAGACTTACTTGCTGTTCCATCTCTCGCACCTTGAACTCGTGCGCTCCAAGCTTCGAGTAGTCCACCTGGTCCTCCTCTTGGCTACGCTCCTTGATCAAGCTCTGCACCTGGCGCACCAGCGCTCGACATGCCGCGCCCACCGCCTTGCTGGCCTGCTCGAGCTTTTCTTGGCTCTTGGACATGAACCCTGCCTTAACTCTGCTGGCAGCCACAAGCTGGGCAGTCGACGCCGCAACATCGTTCGAGGCCACGATGAGCTGTTCTGGACTGTTGCGCCCAGAGATGACTCCATCTGCTGTCTCGATCAGTGTGTTAGTCGACGACGCCACAGCCTTGGCGGCAGAGATCAGTCCCTCCGTCCATCGGTTGTTCTTCTTGTAAAACGCCGTTCGTGACGTCGACCCACGACCTGCCTGCACGATCTCCTGCTGTGTCACTGTCGCCGCCTGAATCAGTTGCGTAATGGCGTTTGTGATCGCCGTCGCCGCATCCAGGATCGAGTCGTTCACCTTGAGCTCATAGGTTGAGTAGCCATCACGGGGCTTGTTCTTGAGCTTGGCCAGTCGTGCTGCTGCTGCCGCAATTGCATCTGCAGCTTTGCTGAGCTCCTGGTCGACGAGATCTCCCAAGTCTCCCTTCTTGTTGGCGAGCTTGCCAAAGCCAGGAGCAAACGATTCAACAAGCTTGTTGAGCTTCTGCAAGTTCATCTGGACATCGTTGTTGCTGTTGATGACCACGTCTGTCTTTTGCAAGGGATCCATGCCCTCAAGTCGGAAGCTCTGAAGACCTCGGAGGAACTGTACAGCTGAGATAGCGGGCTGGCGAGTTCCGTTCATGAGAGAATCGGTCTTCTTATCATCCGTAGCTAGACGGGTAAGACCCTTGGTGTTGCTACAGACATCGGCAATGGCACCAGAGAAGACGTTGATGGCCTTGATAAGGTCGGCATGTGTCGCGTTTGGTCCATCTGCGATGAAGTTGTTGAATGATGTAGCAAATTCCATAGCACTAGCTGAGGCCTTCTCGATCTGTGACAGTACATAAGATGGAGACGCATTCTGGTTACCAGCCTGCATGCTGGAATCCAACTCGTAGAGCGCATCATCCACACGCGCAACACCAGCCTGGAGAACAGAATCGATAATGTCGTTGATCTTGTCAAGGTTGGACATGATGAGGGCATCGATCTGGCCATCCAAAGCATGGTCGGTGTCACCCTGGTTCATCTTGAGCTCGTTGAGCTCAATCAGAGTCTGATCCATGCCAGCCTTGTACACCTCAAGTTCCTCCTCCTTATCGCGGAGAAGCTGCTCGAGGTCAGAGCTGCCGTCACGGAGGTTCATCTGAGCATCCTCCAGTTGTCGTGTCTTGTTACGCAGTGCCTCCTCGAGATCCGCCATCTCACGGTTGTACTTAGCAAGCATTGTCGAAAGCTCGTTGCCCTTGCTACGCTCGAGGTTGTCGGCCTTGTCTTGGGCCAGGCGAAGTTCGCGCTTGAGCTTCTCAACCTCGTCCTTGCTGCTGCCAGTTGCGCGGTCCTTGTCGTGAAGGGCGCGGTCACGCTCACGGATCATGTCGGCCAACTCGAGGTTCTTGGTCTTGATCTCACGCTCGAGCTTCTCGCGGCGATCGATAGCCTCCTGGGCGCTCGCCGCCTTGAGTTGAACGGCCTTGAACTTCTGAAGCAGATCGAGATGCTCATGTCTCAACTGAGAGTAGAGCTTGGCCAGTGCCTCATATTTCGTCCTCCATGTGTTGACCTGCTCCTGAAGTGCCCGAATCTGGTCATCCTTGCTGTTCATTTGCTGGCCGAGACTGTTCTGAATGTGCGACAGCTCACCCTCGAGAGCCTTGACTCGCTGGTCGTATTGTTGGAGCATCAGTTGATCTCGCTCATACTGAGCGCGCGCATTCAGGTTTTCACGCTCCAGCTCGGCCAGGCGTCCCTGAGTTTGCCATTGCGCTTGTTGCGCCATGAGCGCCTCCTGCTCTCGCTGTTGCTGTTCCATCAATTGCTGTTGCTGCTGCTCAAACTCACGCTGAGCCTGAAGCTGGGCCTGCTGCTGGGCCATAAGAGCTTGTTGTTGTTGCTGCTCAAGGATGCGCTGCTGCTCTTCGTACTCTCGGTTCTGACGATCCAATTCGCTCTTCCAGAATTCATTCATCTCATCAGGGGCGTCGTTCTTGGGCTCAGGCGGAGGAGACGGCCTTCGCTCAATCTCCTGCTTTGGTCGCGCGGGCAGTGCAGGTGCATCGTCATCTTCCGCCAAGAGGTTGGGAGGATCTTGAGGAAGCTTGGGAATGGTGATGAGACTGGTAAGGTACCGCAGGTTTGAGCATTCGTAGTAGAACTTAACTAAGCGATAATGCTGCGCGTTGTATCGTTCACGGAGGGGTTCAAGGGCCTCGTCATCTCCGGTTGCTTTGTTGATGTTAACCCTAAGGATCCTAAAGAGGGGGGTGGGGGAGTGAATCACTGACTTGAATGCATTGCGCGCAGCATGCTGGTGATGAACTTGTAAATTCCGTAGCTCTCCTGAACAAGGGGCACGAGGGCGGCAATTCGGCACTCGTTGTTTCCAACATTTCGGAAGTGCGAGAAGATCAGCTTTTGGAACTGCTCGATCTTATCTTGCAGCACCATCAGATCGCTGATGGTCTCGTAGCCTTCGTTGGGGTCGTTGATGGCCTTCAAGCTCAGGTACTCCTCATACTCGAATGTTCCGTTGAACTCGGGGTGCTGATGGTGGAAGGAGAGCTTTGCAAGTAGGTAATAGACGTATTCTCGGATCAGAGGCGCATAACCGCGCATGCCTTCTCCTCCTCCGCCCATTCCGCGGTTCAGGCTATCGATCCATGCGCGGTTTGCCATTGCCTCCTTGAGAGCACTGGGGTGGCCTTCTTGAAGTACCTTGTGGATCGTGATCAGGGCCTTGAACGTCTGAACTTCGTCGGCTAGGATAGGTTGGCTGTTGATGGTCGATCAGCGTGAGTTGTCATGATGAGGACGTATGAGACGTACACCTTGATGCCGGACCAGAAGGCGGCAGAGGACCGGTGGTCCCATGTATAGACGATACATGCTCGGACATGCTTTCGCTTCGGGGAGATCTCCTCGACGTTCGTAGCCTTCTTGATGTTAATAGCGAGCTCTTGGTCGGTTCTGCGCACGAAGATGGGGTTAGCTTGGCGGTCATGAAACGTGAGGTTGTCGCTGACTTGGTATGCTCGGTGCCGCGCACAGCAGCAGCCATGTTTTCAATTGGTGGCGGGCAAGCTCCGCGACACTATTAGTAGATAATGGGTACAGATGTTTGCGCGAGGAAAGTTGCTCAGGTCTTTGGCGATGCTATAGTAGCCCCTGGAAATCACGAGACAATTTCCCAGTAAAGCCGGCGCCGCGCAAGCTTAGGAGATTAGGCAGAGAGTAAACAGTAGGAAATGAAAAGATGATTAGAGAGATCAAGGGACTGAGGTTTGTGAGGATGCGACTGTAGATCGAGTGAGTATTCGCGGTCGTCGTCAGCCTTGACAAATCTTGGGCGACTCTTGGGCGTGGCTCGTCTCTGCGATTCGATGGATGTCGTAGTAGCTTCAGTGGCTGGGCCGCAAGAGCCAAGAGAGGAGCGTCATACGGGGTACGTATCGCCCGTTGTGTGGGGCACAGCTGTTGAAGATTCAGTGCCCAAGCCTGGAATTGGTGGCCAAATTAGGTATCCCACTTAGAGGAGCACACTTTGAGAGATTCAAGACTAGATTTCATGGCATGGGTTGAGAATGAAAGTATGCGGTATATGCTAGTTTTTCATTGCGTTGTTCCAGTAGATGTGTAGCTCAAGAGCTTGGCTGAATACGTATTGTATCCAGTGAATGCGTAAGGTGCCTCTAGATTTTTGAGTTAACTTCTGATGATACTGTAAGTAGTCCAATTTATTCATGAGCATATCATATAAAGTCCACTAAATTTTACCAAGAAATACTCTTCAACTTTGAATATTTCATGGATTTCATACGATTTGAGAAAACATCATTCAGCTCTAATCGCTCACGCAGTCATGCTTCAGCAATGCTCCCTGTAATTATTTCAAAATGCATCTACCTTACTTGTTTGGACATACGGATACTAGCTCAAAGTCTCATGAGTCTCATGGAACACACTTGCAGCTTACAATATCAACTCTATCTATCCGTAAGCACTGTTATGTAAGGCTTCATATTACATTACGATCCTTGGCATGCGAAATGAACGTTCTTGGGAATGTAACAACGGCTCATAACGGCTTCTTGAGTGACCTATCATAGGTCCTATACTGCTGTCTGACGATGAGTCCGTTATGAACTTTCGGCATGGAAATGAACAAAACTGAGAAAGAATTTACTTCCGATGGCCTCAATTGACAGAAGTTTTGAGTGGCACTTGGACGCAATGCCTAGAATGAAATGCCGAGCGCAGAACTTTGCTCATATAAGTCATGGCTGGTGGAAGCTTGAATAATATGAAAATACCTAATGAGAATCACATAGAGGTACAGGGTAAGCGGATGTCCAAGAATGAAGGCCTCGAATCATATTGAATGTCTCTAAGGATGACAAGATGAATATCACAAAACTGCACTCACTGTAGATACAGGGTGACGAGGACTCGCATTACAAGGTAACCTGACCTGATAAGCCGTGATGTGACACTTGTCGATGGAATAATGGAACGAAATCTGTATTAGCATCCATTGTGCACCTCAACATTTAATTTTTTTTTAAAAAAAAACATCGGTTATTCACATGGATTGAATGAGTGAGAAACGCCAGTTCATTCATACGTCAATCAGACGCCATGCCCATGATATGGACCAGGCACAGTTCACTAAAGGTATCTTCAAATACAGACAGCGGCATGCTTCAAACGATGTCTTTTTTTTTTGGTCTCATTGCCTATGGACATCAAAATGCAAGCCCTTGCCATGCAGAGTTTCCCATCCGGACGCAATACCCCAGGTAAATAGAAGCCAGCACCACCAACCCCGCAGTATCTTTTCGTTTAGATCGTAGTCTCGTAGGCGAGAGGAGTGACGGTCTGAGGAGGGTTGTCGGCAAGCGACAGTGTGTGAGCCTCACGGGGTCCAGCGGGCTGACGCTTGACCTGGACGACGGTACCGTTGGCCTTGGCCTCCTTCTTGGCCTCGGCGTTGGCCTTGACTCGCTTGAGGAAGTCCTCACGAGATCGGGACTGCTGGATGTGCTCGATTCGGACGTTGATTCGCTTCTCGATGTATCGGTGCTTCACCTGCTTGTAGATGATGACACCGACAGCAGACTTGGTGACGTTGTAGATGACACCAGTCTTGCCGTGGTACACCTTGAAGGGCATACTGTGACCGTTGTTAGCCCTCCTGTTTCAATGCCCACAGGAATTCCTCCAGCAAAGCGTCCAAGTCTCGCAATTTCGCGTGTATTGTCGCATGGCAAAGGGAGCTCTGCTTACCCCTTCTGGACGGCACCGTTCGCCTTGATGTCGACGATATCACCAACGCGGTACTGTCGGAGATAGGTGTTCAGGGCAATCATACCCTTCTTGCGGAAGTCCCGGCTGAAGGCATACTAAAAATTTCACATCGTCAGTCTCATGCCGACGTCGTCGAATTTTCATTCTCGCAGGAATCGGTGGTTGAACATACGCGGGTGCCCGCTCTCTTTCCGTAGGAGTGACCCATCTCGAATGTGATATGCCGGTACCGGTCGGGTTGGGGTTAGTAGTCGTGGTTGGCGAAAGAGATGGTGAAGTCCTTCGCTTTGGTGTTGTGGATTTCTCGTCTCTCGAAGGCGGCCTTGTGGGAGCGGGTCCTCTGATTTTCCGAAAGTTTTCCAGGTAGGGCAAGGGCGATTGTGGGTTCAACTGGGTTGCACCTTCCAAAATCTTAGGGTTCTCAGCTTTCGCACGTGACGTGATCGAGCTCCACCAAATTTCTGTCCGCACATTTTGCTACGATTTGTGTCTTGTGAGAAAGTTCAACTCCCGCAGAACACCCAAGGAGCAAGTCAAGTGAGTATATCACCGCCGCCACGAGTGCATCGCAAGAGGATATCAATTAACAAAGTCTTCAGGATGCCTCCCCGCGCCCACTCCAAGACCTCTCGTGTCCCCCGCCGACCCTTCGAGTCTGCCCGACTGTCAGTATCACCGGCCACTGAACATGAGCTTGTCTCTGTTTAAGTCGTATGTGAATGAAGACTGACCGAATAACAATAGTGACTCCGAGTTGAAGCTCGTTGGCGAGTATGGCCTGCGCAACAAGCGTGAGGTCTGGCGAGTCGGTCTGACTCTGTCCAAGATCCGTCGTGCTGCCCGGTATGTGAACCTTGGCACTTTTTTTTGTGCGCTGGAGAGGAAGAGTTTTCTAACCAATTGCACAGTCAGCTTCTTACCCTCGATGAGAAGGACCCTAAGCGTCTCTTCGAAGGCAATGCCCTCATTCGACGTCTCGTCCGTGTCGGTGTCCTTGACGAGTCCCGCATGAAGCTCGATTACGTCCTGGCTCTTAAGATCGAGGATTTCCTTGAGCGCCGTCTCCAGACCTGTGTCTGGAAGCTCGGTCTTGCCAAGTCTATCCACCACGCCCGTGTTCTGATCCGCCAGCGTCACATCCGAGTCGGAAAGCAGATCGTCAACGTTCCCTCTTTCATCGTCCGTCTCGACTCCCAGAAGCACATCGACTTCGCTCTGACCTCGCCCTTCGGTGGTGGCCGTCCCGGCCGTGTCCGCAGAAAGAAGGCCGCCGCCGCTGCTGGCGGTGAGGGTGGTGAGGACGAGGAGGACGAGGAGTAAATGCAACCAAAAATGCAAAAACGATTCCCCCTGTCTAGGGCACTTGGTGATGGAATACCACTCATGGGAAGGGGATTCTCTTCATAGCTTGCGGCGTTGGCCAGAGGATAAAAATGGAATGATTTCACCGGATAACGACAAACAAAAAATTCCTGGTGTCTCTCCACCTGTGTACATGAATCTCATGAAACATGAATCCAATCACGACATCCACCCATAATCTTGATTTGCTGTGAAAGTTTCAATGTCAATGTAGCTGTCGCCGTGTATTTGATGCTCATGGTATGTAACAACGTTGCAATTATGTATAGTAATGCATCGCTATGATAAAAGTTCATCCTTGCCCAGCAGCTTTGCCATTGGGTCGTTCGTCACCGTCCGTTTCCTCCTATACTCATCCATTTCCTCTTCTGTCACACCATTCATCATTTCTTCTCTTGTCCGCTTGCGCGGCTGCTCTTCCTCTTTGTTCTTCTCTGCCTCCTCCTTTGAAGGCTCTTCTATCTCCTCTTCATCGTCATTGACCAGGTTTGCTCCAGTTCGTTGACGCTCAGCCGCCTCCCATGCTAATTTTCCATCTTCACCAGTACAGTAACTGTTTTTGATGAACGAATGACAGCAAGCGTAGCCCCATTTGAAATTGGACCACCAGCTTCCCCATACTGAAGTATGATTGTTGACGAGAACATCTTCAGCGTACTTGGATTTGGCCGCTTTCTTGGGTGCACCCTTGATCAAACCAGCCTCATCGTACTCAACAAACGTCTCGGATTCGGCGATGGCCATGTTGCGCAAAGCAGCTGGCATAGCCTTCTGATCTCCACCGTACTTCTCAAGCAGCAGCTTCTCTCGTTCCGCACGTTTTGCCTCTGCCTCCTCCAACTCCTTCTTTCGATAGAACTCTCCTGCTGTGGGGTTTGCTTGCAGATGCTGGCTAGTGTTACCAGACTTTTCTTGAGCCTCCCAAGCATATCGCTGAGCATTCTCGAATGCGCCAGCATCGCCTGAGGATCGCATGAAACCCTCTTCCGCGAACGCATCTGCTGCCTTGTCTGCCGTTGCACCTGCATCGACCAGTGACCGTGTTTTCGGATCGTACTTGGCAGATTCTAGATCGAGGTTCAAAAGATACTTGGCAGTGTCCTCTCGTATTCGCAGTTGTCGTGTTGCTGTGCTCTGATGTTTGCTCATATCATTCTCTTCCGCGTACTTGTCGCCTTCTTCTGTCTCTTCATCGGCATTTCCGTCCTTGGTGGCCTGCTTGCGTAGCTCCTCCATCTGGTTGAACTCATCGACCACACTGCGATACTCCTTTGCATCATATCCATTCCAACGGTCGCGCTTAGCGTCCCATCCCATGTTGACATCTTGAATCACCTCATCGGCTTGGATATCCTTGCCTGTCCATTTTGCGCCTTTGGCTCGGGGTCGACTCAGGCAGTCTTTCTTTTTGTGTGTCATGGCGCCGCAGTTTTCGCAAGCACCTTTGCGATACTTGGTAGCCGCTGGGCCGGCCTTTCTACCTCGATCGTACCATTGTGACTTGTCGTTCTTCTCTTCGCGACGCTGATGCTGGAGGTAGTCATTCTCATCGCCCTCTTCACCGGCATAAAACGGGCGTTTACTGATGAAAGATGGAATGTAGATGTTCTCTTCCTTCAGAGCGGCACCAGCGCCTCCAGGGCCGGTATTTGGGGGCGGCGGTTTTGCGGGTGCAGTAGGCATGACGAGTAAGGTGCAGCTTTGCCGTCTATTGAAGCTTGCGACTTTCACAGAACGAGATCAAAAATTAGAGCCAAATGTTCAAAAGCCAAAAATGGGTGATGCCTCCATCGCAGATCACTGAGCCCCAAAGCGGAAAGTTGTTTAGATAAGCAGTCTTATCACCACGTGATCGCGCGCGTCTGTAAGAGGCTGGTAGCCATGGCAAAACGCGTCTCATAAGTAGTCGAGGTTACACAAAGACCTTCAGAATGAATTGAGCTTGTTGAGATCACTTTTTTGAGCAACGCTTGGCTCTTTTGTTCTTAATAAACAGCCTTAAGCCCCTGATGGATCCAAACTTCAGAGAATATGGACTTGTTCCGGGTCAGACTAAATTGTATCGATCACTATCAAGCAACACCCTCGCGATATGACCCCCAGCTTCGTAACGACATTCGCCCCTCTCAGATATCCAAAGGACCCAGAGTCCCTGTTGTTCGCGTCTTTGGATCTACTGAGACGGGACAAAAAGTATGTGCTCATATCCACGGCGCATTCCCGTACTTGTACGTGGAATATGAAGGTGGCTTAAGCCCTGATGAAGGTTCGTTGTGTATACTCCAGTAAATATCTATCAGTACTAAAAACTCTAGTCGGTGCTTATATATATCGATTTCATCTATCCATAGATCATGCGTTAGCAGTCAGCTATCGACGAGATCAGAAAGGTGACAGTGCGAGGTTCGTGGCAAGGATCACTCTTGTCAAGGGTGTCCCCTTCTATGGCTTTCACGTGGGATATCGCTTCTTCCTGAAGATTTACATGTTCAATCCCATTGTCATGACGAGATTGGCGGATCTTCTTCAGCAAGGCGTGATTATGAAGAACAAGTTTCAGCCATACGAAGCACATCTTCAGTACCTTCTTCAATTCATGACAGACTTCAACTTGTATGGGTGCGATTATCTGGATGCATCCGTTACTCGGTTTCGATCTCCAGTCCCAGAATACGAACAAGGGTCGAATTCATCCCACAAATGGCACAGTCGATCAATCTCTATGAATCACATTACGGACGAAACCACCCTCCCTCGAAGTAGCCACTGCTCGATAGAAGTGGATATATGTGTACAGGATATTGTAAACCGACACAAGGTCAAGGAGAGGCCTCTTCATCATGACTTTACGGAAAGGACCAATCCCCTCCCCGCAGACATGAAGCTGGTCTACAGTATGGCTGGACTGTGGAAAGATGAGACGAAGAGACGCAAACGAAAGATGCAAGATCCGACTGAGGGGAGCAGTCCATTTCCACCAGAAGTCCTTGTGTCGATGTCAGCCAACGCTCGTGACTCTCAACCGCAAGGCTGGCTTCATGAGGAAGAATTCAGGACTGAGATCCGAAATCTCATCTCTGAAGAGAAACTCAGTGGCGACTCGGAAGAGCTTACTTTTGAGAAGTTTGCAAAGCCGCATCCATACGAAGAGCATGTCAATAATACTTTGGAGTCAGTTGAAGATCTCTTCCCATCGAAACTTGCACCAGCTTTGGGTTTGCCGTTAGGTGTGGAGATGGAAAAAGATTTGCGAAGCAGTATTGTCGTCGATGAGGGGAAAGTACGTCAGGCTGGAGAGGCGCACAATGACTTTTATCCTGAAGATTCCGATGAAGATGCCATTGCGGCGCTCGTGGCAATAGAGAAGGCAGCCACAAAAGTTTCTCGAGGACCAACAAACCAACTACCGGAAGAGGATCTTGAGCTAGCGGCGGCTCTCAACATTAGTCCCGACAAATTTGATAAAAAGACATTCTGGAAGTCGGCCCTTGGGGTCTGTCAAAGTGGTCTGGTGACTGGCGAACTTCCTGACCTCCCAGTAAACCAAGAGTTGCTTGATTATGCAGAGAATGAAGGGTTTATCGGACGGACGCAGAAAACACCGACCATCACCTTGTCCAGCTTGACCCAGCTGAAGCGACCCCTGGATGATCTTCCATCTTCTCAGGCGTCGAACAAGAGGACAAGACTCAATCAACCGTCGATGATGGATGAAGATGAAATGGACTTGGTTCCCGTTCCTTCAACAGACGCCAACAAGATTCTCACCTCCTCCTTCAGAGGGGCTTCCATTCTCAAAGGTCCTTCATCGCTTAACAAAAACGCCGGTTCTATACTGAAAGGTGCTTCAGGCTTCAACCAAAAGCTAAATTTTCCTACCGTCAAAGATCAGAATGATCCGAACACCAAGCTTCGTCTCAGTCAGATGAGCCAGAAGTCTGCTTCTCAGCAGACCGATGATGGTCGTCAAACTAAGCACGTTTCGTTTAATCCCAGTAGTTTTCTCCCCGCTGAAGCAGAGTTGTCTCAAATGACTCTGTCATCTTCCATGAAATCATCTGGAGAACGAGGAGACGATGAAAGTCATGAATCGAAAATCCAGAGAGCCATGAGTCGATTCGCCAGCCCGCAAGTGCACTTGGTTTCTACTCTGCCCCCTTCTGCGGCAGCTGTGGCTTCCTCTTTGAAAGAATACGGTATTCCTGATGTGATCTATCAAGATGCTTATTACAGTAGGGAAAAGGATGTCCCTGGACGGATGCGAGAATATGCCGGGAAAGAGTTTCGACTGGAGGGCAACACACTGCCTTTTCTGCCTGAATTTGACCCAACAGGGACAGCTCCAGCCAGCTACGGGCTCAGATTTGAGACCTTTGACAAGACTGCTGTAGAACTTAGGTATGAGCGACAGAGGAAGAAGTGCTCGTTGAGGAGCTGGGAGCTTGTAAATCCCCCGCCCACATATCAAGAAGTCGAGGAGTGGTGGGCAGAAAAGCAACGCAGAGCAAATTCAGCGGACGGGTCCATGATACCATCTACTCCCAGACAATATCAATCTCAGATCGATGGGCCCACACCAAAGAACAAGCACGGATTCAAGTACACCCCAGGCAAGAAATCAACCAGCGTCCAGCATGAGGTGCAATACATGAGCACCATGAGCTTGGAGGTTCACGTAAATACGAGAGGGAAGTTCGTGCCGAATCCTGAGGAAGATGAAGTCCAGTGCGTGTTCTGGGCCATCAAGTCTGATGGAACTGCTTCCGGCAGTCAAGATTCAGCTGGTGTCCAAACAGGTATCCTGCTGTTGTCAAATGACACCGAGTTTACTCAGCGTGTCCAGCGACAGACAAATGCCGAGGTCATCGAAGAAAACTCGGAACTGGATCTTATGGTTCGAATGGTCGAAATCGTAAGAAATCATGACCCCGATATCCTTACCGGTTACGAAGTGCATG